TGTTGAGCTTCAGCTGGTAGACATATGGCCTTGAGTTCTCCTGCAAAATGTCTTGATAAACTTGGGAATTCATTTTTCCTTTGATGATAGCAATCCGTCCAGGCCCTGACGCAGCAAAGCAGCCCCAAACCATGATGCCCCCACCACCATACTTCACAGTTGGGATGAGGTTTTGATGTTGGTGTGCTGTGCCTTTTTTTCGCCACACATAGTGTTGTGTGTTTCTTCCAAACAACTCAACTTTGGTTTTATCTGTCCACAGAATATTTTGCCAGTACTGCTGTGGAACATCCAGGTGCTCTTGTGCAAACTGTAAACGTGCAGCAATGTTTTGTTTGGACAGCAGTGGCTTCCTCTGTGGTATCCTCCCATGAAATCCATTCTTGTTTAGTGTTTTACGTATTGTAGATTTGCTAACAGGGATGTTAGCATTTGCCAGTGACTTTTGTAAGTCTTTAGCTGACACTCTAGGATTATTCTTCCCCTCATTGAGCAGTCTGCGCTGTGCTCTTGCAGTCATCTTTACAGGATGGCCACTCCTAGGGAGATTAGCAGCAGTGCTGAACTTTCTCCATTTATAGACAATTTGTCTTACCGTGGACTGGTGAACAGCAAGGCTTTTGGAGATACTTTTATAACCCTTTCCAGCTTTATGCAAGTCAACAACAATTGTAGCTCTTTTGTGCGAGGCATCATTCACATCAGGCAATGTTTCTTGTGAAAAGCAAACCCAGAACTAGTGTGTGTTTTTTATAGGCAGGGCAGCTGTGACCAACACCTCCAATCTCATCTCATTGATTGGGCTCCAGTTGGCTGACATCTCACTCCAATTAGCTCTTGGAGATGTCATTAGTCTATGGGGTTCACATACTTTTTCCACCTGCACTGTGAATGTTTACATGGTGTGTTCAATAAAAACATGGCAACATTTCATTCTTTGTGTGTTATTAGTTTAAGTAGACTGTGATTGTCTATTGTTGTGACTTAGATGATGATCAGATCACATTTTATGACCAATTTGTGCAGAAATCCATATCATTCCAAAGGGTTCACATACTTTTTCTTGCAACTGTATATTTCATGTATTTTTTTAAAAAACACAGGACTTGACTCTATATGTTATGTGGCTAAATAAAAATACTGGTACATTGTGATAAAATTTAAAAAGGCTTCAGTAAAACTAATCTGAGTGTAGAATTAACCTCAAAAGCCAGTCCAGGTTCTAAAACAGCTAAATGTGAGTTGTTTATTAATCCATAAATAGATAACCGATTATTACTACAGGTTGTTATTGAAATATCTATTTAGTTTCATAAATGAATAGCAAAACAGTGTATTTGTGATGCATAATGGCCATTTACCCAGATCTGCCATAAGGTTTATATTAAGAAGTTGTTGGTTTTTTTAATGTCTTAAAGTACACAAACAAATTTGCAATATTTTGCATTATATTTAAATTCTAATTTCATCTTTAATATATTCAAAATAATAACATTTTGGATTTTTTATTCTACAAAATTAAAGTATATTTTTTTATGATTGTTTTGTATCTCATAATTTCATGCTAGTGGGAAAAAAGTGTTTTATGCGCAAGCTATTTTTAAGGTTTCTTTTAACGTTTTTGATAAATGTATGAGAATAACTTAGGCTAGATTAAACACAATTATCTTTTGTTCTCCAAACTAATTGTGTGTGCGGCAATTATATCTTTGATGTTACCTCTTCAAAGACTGTACATGATCTCATAAAAAGACATTAGAAACTACATAAGGCTAGTGTAACATATGCCCTTAGAGCCTCAGAAGCACTCTCAACTCGAACTGTACATCATAATTCAAAGTGGCCATTTACAAGATTAAAATAGATTGCAATTTTTAAAAATAAATGTAAAATTTGTGTTTTATGCTCCTAATGCATAAAAAAAATCAAATTTAAATTGCAAGTTTAATGAATGTTAACTACACCATTAAGAGAGTTAATTTGATTCATCTATAGACGTTTTATAGGAAAAATAAGAAGTTAAACTTAATCATATCTAAGGTGATTAGTGTTTCAATATAGTATATTTTTTTCCAAGGAAATTAGTTATTACTTTGTTCATGTTATGGCTTTTATTTTCCCTTGACCAAGGTAAAGTTAATCGGTTTGATTCTAGCTATTTAAACGGTTGTGTAAACCTATTTTCTCTGCCATAAAGTTTTATAGGGAAATTTACTGCCCTGTTAACCAATCAGCTCCAAGTTGGAAACTGGAGGGTGAGAGGTGAGTACAAGGCCGTATGGTCAGGTGGTGGTGCCAGCTCCACGAGGGCTTGTCAGCACCTTTAGATCTCCTTAGTTGGAGATGATCTTTTCAGTTTATTTTCTCTGCCATGCCTTAGAGATGAGAGAATTGGGGGGAGAAAAGGGTTGTTAGTGATACACCTGGTCAAATAGTCATGTTTTCTGTTACATTCCTACTGCTAAGTTACTGGGAATAACAAGTCAAATTCTCTGTCATCTACAAATCTGGACACAAATCTGGACACAAAAATGTCTCAAGAAAGCAATTGGACCAAATATATTTTTTTTGTATTTTATTTATGCATTTCGGTAGATTGCACTTCAACAATTAGTATTATTTATTTTTTGTTACATATTCCTGCTTCATTTTTCTTTCTTTTTTAGTATCTTTTTAGTTTATACATTTCCTGTCGTTATGTATTTGGGCATTACTTTTTAAGAAAAATAGTCATTTTGATTACTAACGTGGTTCATTCAGTTGACTTTTGTTCCCCATTACTAGTAATAAGCCAACTTCATGCTTTTCAAAAGTTCTGTGTTTATGTAATGTATTTCATATAGCTAGACACATATTGCATCTACTCACAGAATAAAAGAGACATAGAGGTTGCTTAAGGCTTTCTGTTAAAGCTAGTTTTTTCTTGTATTTTTTTTAATGAAGCTTTATTATCACACAAGAATGCAGGGAGAAATACTTTTATTATGGAAAATAACTTTTTTTATCGATAGAAATTCTGCTTTGTGCAGAGTCGTATCTTCTCAAGATAATTGGAACCTTTATGTGGGATGAGACAACAGTAAGATGTTTTTCTTCCTAAAAAACTATTATTCTAGAGACATATATTGCAATTGTATATGCCCCAAATCACCATGTTTACTGGGAAATAGTTATGTAGAGACATTATGCTGGATATTCCTTTGTAAATGATTAACTGCATTTAACTTTAGTGATGTAGCCCATTGCCATAAGATACTGGGTGATTTATCAAACCAAGTGCTGTTCTGGGGCAAAGAGCTAATAAGGAGCAGTCACAATGAAAACCTACAGAATATATTTACCACTTTATACCCCAAATATCATCTGTTTTGCCTTGATAAACCTCAAACAAAAACAACAAAATATCAGAATCCGTTTTACTTCTGCAAGGACTCAATGTAACACAGAGGATCATACATTCTCTTGATAATTCTGAGCATTACATTTTCATTACATTTTTCATTACATTGTATGTATGAAACCATTGGACCTATTTCTAATTTCTATGTTTTATTTTGGTTTTTTTCCTTAAGCTAACATAGCAATTCTAATGCATAGCATTCCATTCCGTGTACCTTTATTTTAATGGAAAATCTTCAGCTCTTCACATTCTATCACTAAGAAAGCTTTTTACTGTACAATATGTCACATTCTTCAATTGTTTCAGGCATAAAGCAACTTGGCTAATTATATTCAGGTGCATTTGTCTGTTGGATAGGAAATGGACAATGTTTCAGCAGTCACTGACTCAATATTGGCACTGATGGATTGTAGCTTGAGTTTCCTGGGTTTTTAGATGGAAAGTGTATGTGAGCTCTTTGTAATTTTTATTAACTAGCTTTGAAAATACTACTCAGACTCATGGAACAGCTGTCAGTCTAGAATATAATACTCATAGATCAAGCGTGAAGAAGAAATGCCATAAAATAAAGCTTATTTCTGGAGGGATTCTATTATTTTTTTCATATTGTTATTCTTAAGTGATGACACAAAAATTTATTTCAATATTTTAAATCATGTTTTTCAATTTTTCAAACACAACATCAGTTATTAAATAATGAAATCACATGCATTACAAGAGAATGCAGAAATGACTGAGACAGAATTGCAGCATTTTTCCCAAAGCCCAAATTCCTATTTTAAGGTACAATCTGCCAGGTTTATACAAATGAAACAATCATTAAACCTCACTTGAAAGAGCCTAGTAAATTGACTGGTCCATGTATCTAGCTTCCTTAGTGTGTAAGTTTAATTATGCAGAAAGTTTTATCCTTAAGGTGATATTGTTAAATCAAGAAGAAGTAAAATAACGTATTTACTCTTGTTACAGGGTTTCTGTTCTTGATGTCACTTGTTTTTAGTATAACTGGCCAACTACTTTTTTTATTATTCAATGACATTTAAAAGTGTTTTTATTCATTTATAGTTCCATATATGTACATGCCAAGCTGTTGAGCAAAAAGGGAGGACAGGAAGGACAAGTCATAAAAATTTGAATGCCAAGCCAGAGATCAAAATAGTAAACTAAGTCAAAATATTAACACGTCTGTAGAATAATAATTCTCTATAGATGTTGATAACTTAGTTTAAATTGCTGGATACACCCAGTGTTAACATAATTGGAAAGAACCATGCCCAGGAAGCTTTTACATCAATTAGACAACTTCACATCTAACACAGAAAGAAGATAAATCAGAGTTTGCAGGAATCTATAATCTGCAAACTTTCTTTGTCTTAGGGATAAGCATAACCACCTAGCAATAGCGCCCATCACACCCTCCCATAGTGTAAGGGTTTGGCCTGCTGGTTCCCACTCTGACTCCCTCCTCTCTTCTGTATCACAGGGGGTCCGGTCGCGCTGTTAAAGCGCCACAGCCCTGACCAGGCATAGGCCACCCGATGGACCCCTTCAATGCAGCCCCGGTGGTTCTACCAACACAACACATGGTAACAGCTGCGACCCCTGCAACCGTGGTAGTTCCACCATTGGTAGATTCACTGCTTCCTGTGAGAGATAACAGAGCAGAATCTACCTCAGGAGCCATTAAAGCCTGGATGTCCGGGACACCAATGTGGTTCCTGAGGAGAAGGTCATCCTCCTTAACCAAGAGGGATCTAAAGGCTAGTTTGGCAAAATCTCTAACCTCAGAATTATGCTCCATAGCCATCTGGAGTGAAATAATTTTGAACAGAGAGTCTTTCCTAGGAGACTCACTCTAGCCATCTGAATGTTGCGAAGTTTCACTCGCTCAGTGGAAGCTGCTGAACGTACCACTTCCTCAGATTCCCAGTCTATTTCTGGAGAGCCGTGTCTAGAACTGGAATGGCTTTGGGAGGAAGAATGAGCAAACGCTCTAGAAGAGGAAGGAGAGGAACTACCTAACCTCCAATGAGATTTGTCCTTTTTCTCTTGAAGGTGTTTCTGATGCTCAAACGAGGGAAACACACTATTCCTCTTTTGGGATCCTGTCCCTTAACTTTTTCGCTTACTCAAATGAGTATGAGGGGAAGGAGGAGCAGAAAATGTTTCCTCAGATGAGGAACTGGCAGAAGAGACCAGCCGCCTTTCTTTATTCTTTTTATGTTAAACTGGGACAATAGCCTCCTCAGAAGATGAAGATGATAGATCTCTGGCAAGGAAAGAGCTTTCTAACATTGATGGGGCTGCCTCTAAGAGAGGCATCCACTAAATCTGTGGCAGACACAGGTATGGAGTCCTCCATCAATTATGCCATTTTAAAAATCTAAGGTAGTCTGAATTCCCGTTCTTAGCACTGATCTCCTGATTACCTAATTGGCTGAAATGCTGTTGCTGTGCAGGAGCAGAGTGCAAGCTTTTTTTCAGCTCTTTTTTCAGTCCTTTGCAAAAAGGACAAAAAGGCAGATAGACCAATGTATCATTGTGAATAATCTAATGTAATGAATTCACAAGCCATAGGTCAGACTGGGAGGCTCTTGATTGGGTAAACTATGCCTTATTGAGGCCAAAGACAAATGTTCATATTCTGAAGTGTGGGATTTCTTGCAAATACATCAGCTTTTTGTCTCTGAATTGTTTGTATTTGCACATTTTTTGCTTTAAATGTTTTTATTCAAGGGACAGAAGGATACATTACAAAATATTTATAATAACCATACACAAAGATACAATACAAACGTACCTTAATAATAAAAATACATGTCTTAATATACCACAAGCAGTTTTGCACATAAACAGCAATGTTGCAAGGTGCATGTTGTGGAAATTCAATTTGTGGACAATAGAAATTGTGGACACATATCTGATTGTAAAACATGCAGCATCACTATTACCCATATTGCCAAAGATAGAGGCAACATGTACATATGTTCATACTAATTCTAGATATAATAAGCAAAATATAAAAGATGGACCTCATACATGTGATATATTGTAGTCCATGGTTCTTCTTTTGTACATATCACAAAGTCAAGTCTTATCAGAAAAGCTATTCTTTAGAAGTCTTGTATTGGGGCTGCAGTTGACAAATAAAAGTGTGATTAAGTGCCACTCTATATATTGGCATCAACTAGCTTTATTGTTCCTAATGTGAACAAATCTTTAATGTATTAATGAAACTATACAGAGTATATTGGAAAAGTACCATATGTTGTGAAAGAAAAGAAAATTTGAACCTAAATCTTTTCAGTGTAAATAAAAAGGCACTCAGAATAGAATTACACCCTGTTCCAAATTATTATGCAAATTATATTTATGTGTCACAAAGATTAAATATTTTGTTTTTCAATTTAACTCATGGATGGCATTGTTTCTCAGGGCTCTTTCGATCACTGAAAACAATCTCGGACACCTGTGATAATTAGATTGCCAGGTGAGCCCAATTTAAGGAAAAACTACTAAATGAGGGTGTTCCACATTACTAAGCAGAGTACCATTTTCATGCAATATGGGGAAGAAAAAGGATTTCTCTGCTGCTGAAAAGAGGGAAATAGTTCAATGCCTTGGACGAGATATGAAAACATTAGATAATTCACGAAAACTTAAGCGTGATCATTGCACTATTAAGAGATTTGTGGCTGATTCAGAGCACAGACGGGTCTGTGCAGCTAAAGGCACATTGAGGAAGATTTCTGCCAGATCCATGCATCAGATCAAGATAGTAGCTGCTAAAATACCATTACATAGCAGCAAACAGATATTTGAAGCTGCTGGTGCCTCTGGAGTCCCACGGACATCAAGGTATAGAGTCCTCCAGAGTCTTGTAACTGTGCACAAACCTTCTATTTGGCCACCACTAACCAATGCTCACAAGCAGAAATGCCTGCATTGGGCAGAAAAATACATGAAGACTAATTTTCAAACAGTCCTGTTCACTGATGAGTGCTGTGCAACCCTGGATGGTCCAGATGGATGGAGTAGTGGATGGTTGGTGGACGGCCACCCTGTTCCAACAAGGCTGCAACGTCAGCAAGGCGGTGGTGGAGCCATGTTTTGGGCCGGAATCATGGGAAGATTGCTGGTTGGCACCTTTAGGTCCCCGAAGGTGTAAAGATGACCTCTGCAAAGTATGTGGAGTTTCTGACTGACCACTTTCTTCCCTGGTACAGAAGGAAGAACTATGCTTTCCATAATAAAATCATCTTCATGCATGACAATGCACCATCTCATGCTGCAAAAAATACCTCTGCATCAATGGCTGCTATGGGGATAAAAGGAGAGAAAGTCATGGTGTGGCCTCCATCCTCCCCTGACCTCAATCCTATTGAGAACCTTTGGAGCATCCTCAAACAAAAGATCTATGAGGGTGGGAGGCAGTTTACATCCAAACAGCAGCTCTGGGAGGCTATTCTGACATCTTGCAAACAAATTCAAGCAGAAACTGTCCAAAAACTCACAAGTTCAATGGATGCAAGACTTGTGAAACTGCTATCAAATAAGGGGTCCTATGTTAAAATGTAACGTGGCCTGTTAAAATGTTTAAAAAGTTAAAATGTTGTTATAAGTTTGATTTCAATAAATATGCTGCAAACACAACAAATGACAATTTTCAGTTCTTTACAACTTATAAAGTTTTTTGAAACTTACTGTGCGTAATAATTTGGAATAGTGCATTGTAAGTTTTTTATGTTTAAAAAAAATACTGTTATCATCAGGAGGTTTGTTCAATAAAAATTGAATTGTACTCTTAATAGTTGATAACATGAGAATTATGCTGACTGTTAATTACATCAATTATTTAGGTAAATGAGAAAAATATTGTTTGCATAATAATTTGGAACAAGGTGTATGTACATTCTAGCATGATGCTTGTACAGCAACGCATTAAATTTTAAATTTAGGATCTAGAAAAACACTGAAATATAACACTACTATAAAAAAAGGCAACAACTAAGGATATCCAGAAAAGTTAGTGAAAGGCTAAGCTCCTATCCACAAAGTGCCTGAAAAGCCCATTACTATTCAACACACTTGTCTTTCTCACCCTAAGCAATAAACTCTTCTGAAAGTATAACAATAATGAATGAATAATTAAATATACATGCAAGTTCCAGTACGGAGAAACAGTGAAAGATGCTTCAAAGAGAAGGCAGAGCAGCGCCTGATCAATGTGAATTGCAAAGTAAGCGGAAAAAAATAATGAAATCTGGTCTTTTCTGATAAAAATTTTGGGTAAGCCTAAACCAAGGTATTACATTTAAGGTATTAGTCTCACCATTTTCTAGTGTTCCAAAAGACATGCCTATTTACTAAAAGTGTTTAAGTCAGCAGCCTTCATTAATGCCAATGGGTTGAAATGTTTCTATGACACTAATTTAACATTTAATACATGTTTCTACCATGTTTTAAAATGGACACACTATTGATGACCAAGGAAACTGTTTATATTATGACCAGGTTAATGGGTCTAAACATACAATCAATGTCTTAATAAAACTACACAAATAAACTAATATATATATATATATATATATATATATATATATATGTAACAGAGCAGCTTTTTACACTTGTCTCTATGGCAGCACTAAAAAAGGGTTAACTAGAACGTTGTCCTCTTGATGTTGCTAATGTAATTTGTTGTTACATGTCTACTTTTAACATTTTTACAATAACAATTGCTAAGTAAAAATCAGTATTAGTTGCACTGGATGTTACTAGCACCAGCCATTAAAGGTAGGGGTTAAGGTTAGAAAATTGTCAGTAATTTGTGGCCAAAAATATCAACTGGCTCCTGTTATTAAACGCTTAAGGGAGAAATGACAATGAAGGTACACAGGGCCTATAGTTATGTTTAATATTTCTGCATACTTTCTTTCTAAGTCCTCTCTCTTTTTTCCCATATTTGTTCTTTGTAAAGTTTGCTAGTATGCCTTGCTATAGGTTTACTCATTTTTTTGCTTTTTCCACCTGGATCTGCATTTTGCAGTGTAGAACAACAGTCAGAACATAGTATTACAGGAATGTTTTACTTTGCATAAAGCAGATTTGATAATTAGTTCAATGTGTATTTTTTCTTTATTTTAAATATTGCTCTATATTGGGAAAAGGTGGAAGGTTCAAACTTAACAAGTTTGATCTTTTAGTATCTAAATTTCTAGGCTACTATGTCACCAAAATGCTCCATATAGCTTATATTTATTTGCTGCAAATATTGCAAATGAATCTCAACCACATTATCATTTTTAACCTGGGTCAAGGTAGTACAAACAAGTACTAATTAATGCTTTATGCTAAAGCGGCAACATAATAATCAGATCTGTGCTATGTTTCATAAAACTGAAATTCCTTGCTGTAATAAATCTTAGTTCACTCATAAAAATAATGTATTTATCTATAAAATGTGCAGTGCATTGCAACCCAGAAGTGATCTCACATTTATTATTATTATTCTGTCTCTGTCTGATTGTTCTAAATTTAACATCCCAGACCTATCTTGTAGTCATACATCTGAAATATTGTCATATTCTCTATATCATTCAAGACTGATGTATCTCCTTCTAATTGAATTTTCCAGTTTATTTTTAGAATTTTTCTCATCAGTGAATGTTATCTGCCTGTAGTCATGTGAAAGTGGCACCCATGATTTGTAACATTTTCAGAGAGACCACATCAGCTTTTAAAGAATCAGATGTGACAGGGGTATATTTTCCCTTATTCGATGCCTAATGAATATTTTATTGTAACCTG